AACCATCACTGACACCCTCCATAAGGAGGGAAAGCCTCAAAAGATAATTGCAAAAGAAGTTGGATGTTCCCAAAGTGCTGTATCAAAGCACATTAATAGAAAGTTATGTGGAAGGGGAAAAGTGTGGAAGAAAAAGGTGCACAAGCAGCAGGGATGACTGCAGCCTGGAGAGGATTGTCAGGAAAAGGCCATTCAAAAGTGTTGGGGACTTTCACAAGCAGTGGACTGAGGTTGGAGTCAGTGCATCAAGAGCCACCTCACACAGACGGATCCTGGACATGGGCTTCAAATGTCATATTCCTCTTGTCAAGCCGCTCCTGAACAACAAACAACGTCAGAAGCGTCTTACCTGGGCTAAAGAAAAACAGACCTGGTCTGTTGCTCAGTGGTCCAAAAACCTCTTTTCTGATGAGAGCAACTTTTGCATCTCATTTGGAAACAAAGGACCCAGAGTATGGAGGAAGAATGGAGAGGCACACACTGCAAGATGTTTGAAGTCCAGTGTGAAGTTTCCACAGTCTTTGTTGATTTGGGGAGCCATGTCATCTGCTGGTGTTGGTCCACTGTGCTTCATTAAGTCCAGGGTCAACACAGCCGTCTACCAGGAGATTTTGGAGCACTTCATGCTTCCTTCCACAGACGAGCTTTATGGGGATGCTGACTTTATTTTCCAGCAGGACCTGGCACCTGCCCACACTGCCAAAAGCACCAAGACCTGGTTCAATGACCGTGGGATTACTGTGCTTGATTGGCAAGCAAACTCGCCTGACCTGAACCCCATAGAGAATCTATGGGGCATTGCCAAGAGAAAGATGAGAGAGACATGAGACCGAACAATGCAGAAGAGCTGAAAGCTGCTATTGAAGCATCCTGGTCTTCCATAACACCTCAGCAGTGCCACAGGCTGATAGCTTCCATGCCATGCTGCATTGAGGCAGTAATTGCTGCAAAAGGGGCCCTAACCAAGTACTGAGTACATATGCATGCTTATACTTTTCAGAGGTCCGATATTGTTCTATGTACAATCCTTGTTTTATTGATTGCATGTAATATTCTAATTTTCTGAGATTGTGGATTCGGGTTTTCATGAGCTGTAAGCCATAATCATCAAAATTAAATCACGGCTTGAACTATCTTGCTTTGCATGTAATGAGTCTATCTCATATATTAGTTTCACTTTTTAGGTTGCGTTACTGAAATAAATGAAGTTTTGCACGATATTCTAATTTTTCGAGTTTCACCTGTATATGTGTACTACGAAACATGCTTAATCCTGCCCCTGTCTTATCGGAGATTCAGATATCAGAACAACAAAGAAGACATTTGTCATTTTTTTTTAATACTGAAACACTTGCATATGCAGGATATGTTTTGAATGTTTTTTTTCTACATGAAATAAAATAATGGTCTCCAGGGGTAGGCAACCTGTGGCTCTCTAGCTGTTGTGGAACTACATTTCCCATGAGGCATTGCAACATTACAAAACTGACAGTTACAGCTATGACTTGCAGAGGCATGATGGAACCCTTTTTTTATCGGTGAGTATGAGCACCAATACAGTTGGTCAAGTATGAGCACCTATACTTTTGGTCGAGTACTCGCTGATACCGATTACTAATACTTTGCGATGGTGCGAGTTGCGCCAAAACAAAATGTATGGACACGAACTGCACCGCAAAGAATAGCATGCGATTTGAACAGGAATGCGATTCCTGTCAAAATCGCATGTGGTTTGCCCACTGCTCCTGTGTGTACCTAGGCTGTCCTAGTCACACAGGTGTGGAGCAGGGAGATTTTTCACAGCAGAGAGTGGGAGCGTGGGCATATGGGGATGTACAGTATACTATTGTGGCAGCTCTATATACTTAGTTGTAGGAGAGAAGAGAAAGCAGCAGGGATTTTAAATCCCCACCGCTTTCTCTATTCTCCTTGCAGGTATGACAGTTCTGGCTAGAGGACTATTGATTGGTCAACACCGTCAGCCCGTACTGTCATCCCTGCAAGGCTTCATAGGTCTGGGGATTTGAAATCACTGCCGCTTTCTCTCCTCTCTCCTTGCAGCAATGACAGTATGGGTCCATGTGTCAGTGCTGACCAATCAATAGTCCTCTAACCCAAACTGTCATACCTGCAAGGAGAGGAGAGAAAGCAGCGGGGATTTCAAATCCCCACCGTTTTCTTTCCTCTCCTACTGCTGAGAATATGGACCATCTGCTTTCATAGTATACATCCCCCCACACGCCCACTCTCCACTCTCCATGGGATGCCTGCAGGGAGGTTTCCCACACTGCTCCTGTGTGAGCTCAGGCTATGACAAGCCTGAGCTCACACAGGAGCAAAGGGGAAACTACATGTGATCTTTGCGGTGCAATTTGTAATGACAAAAATCACACCGAAAACTATTGGTTTCCAGTATCAGGAGCATTTTCACTAATACGATTACTTGTGAAAAAACTCAGTATTAGCACTGATACTAATACCAGTATCGGAATTGCTGTATCCCTAATATAATGTGGTCAGTGCGATTTTACAACTTGCATATGAATTATAACCTTTATTATTCTTAGCCAAGATAACAAGTCATTAATATAAAGGGAAACATGCTACAGAGCTGTTGGATGCTCAAGGATGACTTGAATGTTTTTGCTGCCCTCTCATAAAGTACGGAGTGGCATAATTATGTGCAGGTATTTCAGTCACCACTCTGTTTTTACATGCTGTTAACAGTATAACAACTATTTGTCAGTTTTATGGACATCCTCCTGAGCCATTCTACAGATTGGTTCAGCATCTCCACTGTAAATATATAACCTTTACAGTTGCAAGAAAAAGTATGTGAACCCCTTGGGATTACGTGGAGTTTTGCATGAATTAGGCATAAATGTGCTCTGAACGTCATCTAAGTCACAACAATAGAAGAATACAGTCTGCTGAACATAATACTACACAAACATTAGATGTTGCCATGGTTTAATTGCACATAACATGTAAACATTCACAGTGCAGGGAGGAAAAGGTATGTGAGGCCCTAGCTTAATGACTTCTCCCAGAGCTAATTGGAGCCAGGAGTGCGCCAACCTTGACTCCAATCAGTGTGATGATATTGGATGTGTTGCTGACAGCTGTCCTGCCCTTAAAAAACACACACCTGTTTTGGGTTTACTGGTTTCAAGAAGCACTGTCTGATGTGAACCATGCCTCGCAGAAAAGAGCTCTCAGAAGACCTACGATCAAGAATTGTTGACTTGCATGAAGCTGGAAAGGGTTACAAAAGTATCTCCAAAAGCCTTGATGTTCATGTGTCCACGGTAAGACAGACTGTCTACAAATGGAGAAAGTTTAGCACTGTTGCTACTCTCCCTAGGTCGTCCTGTAAAAATGACTGCAAGAGCACAGTGCAGAATGCTGCATGAGGTAAAGAAGAATCCCAGAGTGTCAGCTAAAGACCTACAGAAATCTCTGGCACATGCTAACATTTTTGTTGACATATCTACAATAAGGAAAACATTAAACAAGAATGGAGTACATGGGTGGACACCACAGAGGAAGCCATTGCTGTCCAAAAAGAATATTGCAGCACGTTTGAAGTTTGCAAAAGAGCACCTGGATGTTCCACAGCACTACTGGCAAAATATACTGTGGACAGATGAAACCAAGATTGAGTTGTTTGGGAAGAACACACAACACTATGTGTGGAGAAAAAAAGGCACAGCACACCAACATCAAAACCTCATCCCCACTGTAAAACATGGCGGAGGGAGCGTCATGGTTTGAGGCTGCTTTGCTGCCTCAGGGCCTGGACGGATTGTTGTCATTGATGGGAAAATGAATTCCAGAATTTATCAAGACATTTTGCAGGAAAACGTACGACCATCTGTCCGCCAACTGAAGCTCCGCAGAGGATGGGTGATGCAACAGGACAATGACCCAAACCATACAAGTAATTCAACAAAACAATGGCTGCAACAGCACAAAATACGCCTTCTGGAGTGGCCCAGTCAGAATCCTGACCTCAACCCGATTGAAATGCTGTGGCATGACCTTAAGAGAGCGATTCACACCAGACATCCCAAGAATATTGCTACACTGAAACAGTTTTGTGAAGAGGAGTGGTCCAAAATTACTCCAGATCGTTGTGCAGGTCTGATCTGCAACTACAGGAAATGTTTGGTTGAGGTTATTGCTGCCAAAGGAGAGTCAACCAGTTATTAAGTCCAAAGGTTCACATACTTTTTCCTCCCTGCACTGTGAATGTTTACATGTTATGTGCAATTAAACCATGGCAACATCTAATGTTTGTGTAGTATTATGTTTAGCAGACTGTGTTCTTCTATTGTTGTGACTTAGATGACGTTCAGAGCACATTTTATGCCCAATTCATGCAAAACTCCACGTAATCCCAAGGGGTTCACATACTTTTTCTTGTAACTATATATATATATATATATATATATATATATATATATAAAACAAGTGGTGTTCTTCTCTTCAGCAGCTGCTGATAAATCACAACTTTGATTTGGACATTGCCCAAGGGCAGTGTGTTTATATCCTGCAGTGATTGATTTTGTTTTCAATTAATGAATTTACCAGGATTGACAGAAAATTGTGGATATCTGGTGTCAATCCAGGCTGGATAGAGAGTAGCTGGAATCATAATTTATGGGAACACTGAAAAGGCTGTTGGCAATGCTTTATTAGCAATGCATGCTAACAATCGTTTCCAACAGGACAAACTATTTATCCATTGTTTTTCCTGTTGAAATAGATGATTTGCTACAGGCTCCATACATTCCGCTTGTTCTCCAGCATTAAAGTGGGTGGATTTTCTGGTTTGAATAGAAACATGCATTAGTTGAAAAAATGCAAATATGTGATTCCAGCCTTAATAAAAGCACGTGAAATAAAAGGATTAATATGTCTAGAAAATCTCAACAAAAGGTTGAACATATCAATGTGTCAATAAACTACTTGAACATGTATTGTTCTTTGAATTTTAGGCACTACTTGCAGATGAAACCATTAGCAATGTTCCAGTCCTGCTGCTGGGCAACAAGATTGACAGACCAGAGGCCATCAGTGAAGAAAGGCTACTGCACACTTTTGGACTTTATGGGCATACTACAGGGAAGGTATTGACCATGTAATATCTAAACAGTTATCATGTCAAAGCTATAGATCATAGAAATTACTTTTTTACATTCATCCAGTTACTGCTGGTGTATCAGCAATTAAAAAATCTCATGTACCATATCAAATACATTGAAAAGGATCAGGAACTCTAAACAGACTTTTGGAAGCCAACTATTTTTTTCTTTTTTACCGAAAGGTAATATTCACTATAGACTTGATGTACTGCAGGTTGTGTCATCTCTATCTTCTTGCTGGATCTATGCCACTTTCTCCATTGGCCAGTTGCTGAAAGGCTGTAATAAGAAGATCTATTATAGGATAAGCCACCCAGGAAATATTTTCTTGATGAACATCTAGGACATCACCTTATTGTATATAGCACTTATATAAATGTACAATAACACTCAGCCTGTGTGTTTATTCTAGTACAGGTGACTTGGATATTAAAACAAACACATGTTGATGAGGTTATAGATTACAAAAAAAAAAAAAAAACTGACCACACACTCTGCTAGTAACATAAAAACATTATCACACATTTATAAAAGGTACTGCAACCAACAGTGACTGTGCAAAACACAGATCTCCGATAATCCAATTAGAATTTATTAAATTAGTTAAATTGATTGATTATTGCTCATAGAGAATTGATAAGAGGCATGGAGGAGCTCAGCTATAACAAAAGATTAGAGGAACTGAATTTATTCTCTCTTGAGAAGAGGAGATTAAGGAGGATATGATCAACATGTATACATACATCAATGGTTCATATAGTGACCTTGATGTAGAGCTATTCACCCTGAGGTCATCACAGAGGACAAGGAGGCACTCTTTACATCTGGAGAAAAAGAGATTTAATATCCAAATATGAAAAGGCTTCTTCACAGCAAGAGCTGTGAAAATGTGGAATATACTCCATCAAGAGCTGGTTCTGGCCAGCTCAGTAGATTGTTTTAAAGGATAAGTTCACCTTTTGCCAAAAAATAATTAATGCACATTTTTTGCAGGTATTTTTTGTTTTGGGAGCCTTTAAAGCAGTGCACCAGCGATCAGCAGATCACTGGTGCCATGCAGGACTTCTGCAGACGTGTTGGTGTATCTGTGTGCCTGTACCTCATACGGGCAAGCAGATACACACTGACAGAAAGACTCAATGAACTACCATAGCACTCAACAGTGCCATGGTAGTCCATTGAGAACTGCAAGCCGACAGCCACAAAGCCTATCGGGACTTTTGGTTTTCCCATTAACAGAATACTGTAAATAAATGACGCGGCTGGTGGGCGGAGCCCCACACAAACACTTTTTTTTTAAAATGTGGGCAGCTAGGGGGGTGGGGGGGAGGGTGAGAAGATCCCCTACTAGCTGTCAAAATGGGGGAGCAGGGGCCAGTCCTTTCGCAACATGTTACACCCTGAGTAAGGTGCAACATGTAACATGATACAAAAGGTGACCTTTTTCTTTAAGAAAGGCCTGGATTCTTTCCTAAATGTACACAATATAACTGGAATCTTATATTTATAGGTAAAGTTGATCCCGGGATCCAGGTATTGGATAGTGTATGTGGAGGTTTCTATTTGTGTGTGTTTTTTTTTTCTCTTTTGGTTGAACTGGATGGACTTGGTCTTTTTTCAAGCAGATTAATTATGTAAACTATGTAAGTCGTTGATAGATAGATATAGATATGTAGGTATCTATAGATATCTAGCATAGATATAGATATGTTTTTTTTTAATTATTACCAATTCACAAATAACTATGTAACAAAAGATTTCATTGCCCCATTAAGGGAAAATGGTTATAAGAAAGCGCCCATTCAGATTGGTGTCTTTTGGTACTGGTCTGATGCCATTCATGGTGTGATGCACAGCCAGGCAACACGCATGTCCTTGACTCAGACTTGCAGTAGGAGACAGTCCTTGAGCTTTGTTTTGAAGTTTTATTTGAGGATTTAGAACTTGGACAGGGTAATGGGTGTATGGGATGCCCAAGGGAATGGTAGCTGAGGACAAACTCCTTAGCAACTATCTACAAGTCTTTACAGCAATGTTTCTCTACTGGAGAGCTAGCCAGCATCTCTTGTAGATGATTCTTCTCCTCATCCAGCTGTACTGGGTGAACCCCTGGGCAGGGGATCCAGTGCCTGCCACTGCAGTGTGATACAGTCCTGGATAGGATAGCAAACCCAGTTCCCCACTAGAGTGCTTCTTTTCTCTTACTGGCCCAGGGGGTGCAGGTTTACTCACTTGGACCCTCTCCTGTGCTGCCAGTGGCTGCTAGTAGGCCTTCTAACTGAGCAGCTCCTTCCCTGCCTCACAGGTGGTCCTCTCTTAGGGGGCCAGTGAAGACCCAGGTTTTCAGCCTTCCAAGGTCCTCTGCCTGCAGGTGAGCTCCTCTCCATCTGGGCCCCCTACAGGCTCCAGCCTCACATCCTTCTCTCTCTCTCTTCTACCTGAAGTCTCCTGCTGCTGAGCATGCTCAGCTACTCTTAAAGTTTGCTCTGGCCCCTTGCCAAGCCTCCTGTTGGGGATTGGTCAGGATTCTCTAAGAGTACAGACCAGCCACTCCTCAAATCCGCCCACTGCTTCTTAAAGATCTACAGCAGAGGGAAATTCCAGAGAGGCTGGTCTGCAGAGCTTCTCGGCCTTGACCACAATTTGATCTCTCTCTGACTGTTGCACCAGGCAGCTACTCAGCCTCTGCCTAATAATTAGTATCTAGTTCCCCATAGCTATCTAAGTGGGTGCTACAGTAGGATTTTCTGTGTTAAGGTGTGCTGCCTGCCCATTTAAAAAGAATTTTAGTGCAGCGCACTTTTAGACAGAGAAGCACATTGCCTTAATGCAGGTGCATTAACACAGTACATATATCGTGAAGGGACCTAGTGTTCATTTTTTTCTTTTTTGAATATTTATATATTTTTAATATATACACATTAATTAAAAACACTATAAAAAAGTCTGTAAAGATTACCTCCATGAGCAATTATTATATCATTATTTATTACATTTGCACAGTGTTAAATGGAATAAAGTCCAAAATCAAAGTCCAAATAAAGTCCCAAAAAAATTCAAAAAAAAAAAAAAAAAATAGGATTCCACAAGTATTAATTAATAGAATCAATCTTTATCTGTAATTTCTCAATTCTTCATATCTCCAAACCGCCTTTGTGATATACTCCAAACAAAATCTTCATATACCTCAAAGAAAAAAAACTCAACATGTGTATTATCCCAAAAAAAAAAAAAAATTCACTAAAACGTGCCACACGTGTTTCATGCAAACAAAATTAACGTGCCACCGCAACCGTGAAGAAAATCTCTCTGCCTTAAGTATCAATCCACTGCATACCAATAACAGAAGTGCATAATTACCCTCAGAATAGTATCAAGGGTCTGAATGCGATTATTTCCAACCTTTTTGTTCCTTCAGCCTTTCCAGCCACTTCCCACAGACCTCATAAACAGACCAGGGATGAATATGTGTCATAAATACTCATAACACATAACAGGATTTATTCCCCCTCGGGAGTGGGATGGTGAGGATACCTACCTACTTCTGAGGAGAGGCAGGATTGTGGAATAATTTTCTTGGTGTGGAAGCTGATCTCATCTTATTTTAATGTAAGTTGCTACAATAAAGTGTTATGAGTATTTATGACACATATTGATCCCTGGTCTGTTTATGAGGTCTGTGGGAAGTGGCTGGAAAGGCTGAAGGAACAAAAAGGTTGGAAATAATCGCATTCAGACCCTTGATACTATTCTGAGGGTAATTATGCACTTCTGTTATTGGTATGCAGTGGATTGATACTTAAGGCAGAGGGATTTTCTTCACACGGTTGCGGGTGGCACGTTAGTTTTGTTTGCATGAAACACGTGTGGCACGTTTTAGTGAATTTTTTTTTTGGGATAATACACATGTTGAGTTTTTTTTTCTTTGAGGTATAAGAAGATTTTGTTTGGAGTATATCACAAAGGCGTTTGGAGATATGAAGAATTGAGAAATTACAGATAAAGATTGATCTATTAATTAATAATTGTGGAATCCTTTTTTTTTTTTTTTTTTGAATTTTTTTGGGACTTTATTTGGACTTTGATTTTGGACTTTATTTTTTATACACTAACATTTAGTATATGGTAATCAAGTTTGCTGAAAGATTGATCTGTTGATATATGTACTTCAGGTGAAGGACTGTGAAAGTGACTTGGTGGGGTGTCCTAATTAAAGAAGGATAGTGCTGTACTTATAATAATTGTTAAATGGAATGTTCTTATTCTCAGGGGAAGGTACCACAGAAACAGCTAAACACCAGACCCATTGAAGTGTTTATGTGCAGCATATTGAAGAGACAAGGTTATGGGGAAGGATTTCGCTGGATGTCACAGTATATCGATTAACATTGAACAAAAAATGTGCTTCATTCTCTTCTTTTTTTTTTAATTTAATTAAGACTTTATAACCTGAAATAAATTACTATACATCAGTGCCATTTCAAGAAGATGTGATTAAAGTGCAATAAAGTACTATTTTATTTTACTAATAATGTTTCACTGAGTTTCTACACTATCAGATGCAATGTGACCAGCTTATATAAATATAATTCTCTTTCTATAGTGTTGAACACCATAATAGTAATAGTAAGGCAGTAGCAGAGCTAGCATACGTAGCAGTTATTACCTGACCCATGACATGGGTATCTTGGACCTTGATTCAAGAAACAATTACAATTAAATATTAAGTCAGAATAAACAGAAAAAATACAGAAGCAACACACAGAAACAAGAAAAAGTAAACCACAGTTAACAGTGCCCATGCTCATGTACAGTATAACTCCACCTTCGTGGAGTTACTTTCATGGCCACTTTGGTGAAATTTTTTTCAAATAAAATGATCCCCTTTGTGATCAAAGTACAGTGCAAGGATTTTAACAAACTTACCTTTTTCTGCTCTGACGAAAACACGGTTTGTTCATTGCAAGACTGATTTCTGAATGGTGTTGCAAGAAGAAAGATGCTGTGTTTGCATCCCCTTAGAAGTAATGAACCTTTAGGGAGTATCTCCCCAAAAATGAAATTACTTTTGCAGGGGAATAACAAAAATCTTTGTATCTTAGTGCAGATATCTGGGAGAATCAGTGAGCCAATCACAGATGCAGGAAATTACATTTCTGGGAGTTTTCTGTACACCAATTGTGTACAAAATACCTCCAGGTTGCCATATTGTGTTGCCTTTTTTGAAAGTTTTAGAAAATGACAGGGTATGGGGAATTATAACAATAATGGCTTCTGCAGCAATTTTATATTCTATATTATTTTATCTAAAAAAGAAGTTGACTTTTTCCTTTAAGTCTGAAGTAACATAGTAGTCATTTACAGTAGATAGTAGTCATTTAGATTACAAAATACCTTTATGCAGAAAAATAGGGTGTCATGCACCAATCTGTGTGCTAGCCAGATCCTGAAAACACCATCATGTGTAAAAGGAGAAAAAAAACAGGATGCAGAAAAAACAGCTACCCACTGCTCTCAGTGTTCAAAAGGTTATATATGGTATATTTATTGGAGAACAATCCTCTGAAGGAAAACAAACAGAAGGCCTAAGGCAACCAATAGAGGAGTTAGTTTTTTTCATTCAGCCAGAAGGTTGAATGAAAAAAACTGGCTTGATTCCTCCATACACACATTCAATGTGGATGAAGGAATCCTCCCCACTGAGCTATTGTATTCTGATATCTGGGAGACTTCCCCACTGTCCAAATACACTCATGAACTCTGATACTTTACAAGATGCACAAGAGAAATCTACAAGATTCCTCCACTAGATTCCTCCATCCAAGCTAAACAGAGTGGGACGGGGAACTCTCCCTAGTGAGGATCCGCGGCTGCTGAATGCCCAAACAATGCCTGTATCTAATTAGATGCAGTCACTCCTTCATCATCCATTTCCCAACCGACTCCTTTGACAAAAGTCAATTGTTGACAGGGCCAGAAGCAGGTCAGATTCAGTTGAAATTCAATAACTATATCAATATTGAGAAAACAAATATTAACCATTGTAGACATACTGTATTAGTAGCGCTATGCCTGGATGAGCTACTTGCCATGACTCTGAAACTTGCTTCATCCACTCTGACACACCACGTTAGGTAATGAGATGCTACAAACATCTATGAGCTCAAGTATTAGTATAATACCCACAACTATAGCATATAGGAAATAGGCACCAGGCTACTTAATTGTGAACAAAGTAAATATATTATCACAAGACAAAATAAATGACAATGCAAAAAAATCAATGAACAGGTAAAATTAGTTTGTTTGATTGCAATAAACGAATTGACATGGATACTAGGCTATAATATAGTAATTATCCTGAATCACAGTAGTATTAAGCAAAATTAACTACATGCCCTCTGGAAAGTTTACCCCCCTCCCTGACCAGGCCATTTTTTGCTATTCGGTGCTGCTCTATTTCAACTGGTAATTGCACAGGCTGTACCCAACAAAATGTCCTTTTTTCACACAAATAGAGCTTTCTTTTTGTGGAATTTATTTTTTGTGATATAAATAAAAAAAGACAGAACATTTTGAAAAAAAACCTACATTTTTTAACTTTCTGATTATAAAAAACACCCAATAAACTCAAATTTAGTCATACATTTAGGCAAAATGTATTCTGCTACATGTCTTTGCTACTTCTCCCGAGTATGGGGATACCACATGCAAGAGACTTTTTGGCAACCTAGCCACATACAGGCACCCAAACTCCAATGACCACCTTCAGGCTTTCAAAGGGCATATTTCCTCATATCACCTCCTCACTACTTATCACAGTTTCAGAGGCCCTAAAGTGCCAGGATAGTACAAACACCCCCCCCAAATGACCCCTTTTTGGAAAGTAGACACCCAAAAGAATTTGATAAGATATCATTTTTTTGTCACAGGGTTTTGAAAAAGAAAATAAAAAATACATTTTTGTTTTCTTTCTTCATTTTCCAAAAACTTGTGGCAACAAATGAGATCTGGAAAATACTCACCATGCCCCTTAGCAAATACCTTTCCAAAAAGGGATAATTTTGGGGGGGGGGGGGGGGGGGGGTTGCTTCTACTATCCTGGAATATTATGCTTTTATTTGCTAAAAAATTACTTTGAACCCCAAACAGAATATATGTTTGTAAAGCAGAAGTCCTAGAGAATAAAAGAGTGGGTGTTGTAATTTTTTATGTCACACAGTATTTGTGAAGCGATTTTTCAAACGCAAATTTAAAAAAAAAAACAAAACACTTTTTTGAATTTCATTGCACCAAAAACAAAATATATTGCCCAATTGTTTGATAAGATATAAAAGATGATGTTATGCCAAGTAAATAGATATCAAACATGACATGCTTTAAAATTGCGACAAACTGCATAAATCTTTAATATCTATAGGCGATGCTTTAAAAGCCTTTACAGATTACCACTTTAGATTAACACAGAAGGTCTAGGAAGTGCTAGAAAATACTGCCCTTGATCCAAAGTTCAGGGTGATACCTGGTATGCATGGGGAAATCTCTGTTTACATATCAACACTGGACCAATGCTTGCTTTCACCTTTACACATGAGCGGGGGGGGGGGGGGGGTGGTTTCTTTGTTTAATGATTTTGCTTTTTTATTTTAATTTATACACTGTCCCTTTATTTAAATTTTTTTATCATTTTTATACTCTTTTCTGAGAAATCTGGGGTCTATTAGACTCTCGATCTCTACTCTCCCCTTAAAGCATCTGATCACACGTTATCAATATATTTGATCTGCAAAAACAGTAAACTAGTAATGCCGGTGATCAGTGACCTATAGCGTGATTGCGATGCGGGCAATCTAATGCTAGCTGACCCTGGCTGGGAGGGGAACTTACAGATCATGATGTTATGTGTAATTCTATATACTGACACTGTACTAATGTCATTCCAGGCAGGCAGTTGGCAAGTCGTTAAAAAAAAATACATTTTTAATTTTTTTTTAACATTATTTTTCGTTATTTTTAACTATTTAAGAAAAATTTTTCATCAGAGTAGTGCAATGTTACCATAGTTGCTCTGCAATGTAATGCTTGCTTTGAATTGTTATGAATGGGTTAAGTTCATGACAGTTCAAAATATAGTGATCTGTGATTGGCTCCAGCTGGTCACATGGTACAGGGTGCTGTGATTAGTCCCATGCACCATGTGAGAGCTGTGGGCCAATCACAGCTCACCAGGAAGAGAAGCAAAGCTGTTATGAATCAGACTGATTCATAAAGCTTTGTAAGCATTGTGATTATGTGATCACACACCAATCACATGAGCACTGGGTCCCAATTACCGGCATCCGCATTCCGCTGTGTCCTCCTGTGGACACAGTTGTTGCAGGGGGGAGGGCTGCACACCCCCGTGTTAGTACAGGCAGAGCGACTTACCGGTACACCGCTCTGCCTGTACCTGCCGTCCGTCTGCTGTAAAAGTACTGTGAGCGGTCGGCAAGTAGTTGTCCTAGTATAAGCAGCACTTGTAAAGGGCAGTATAAACAATGAACAGCATAAACCATTTGGAAGTATCACAGTACCACTCTGCAACAAATAATCAAAAAGTGCCCCAGAGTGCAACCTGTGTATATCCCCCCTGAACTTAGGTATAGGTATATTTTCTTGAAAGGGGTACTCCTGTGAGGAATTTGTACAGTATCTGATGCCTGAATTGCAAACCTCAGGCAGCTAACAGTGGGGCCCAATCTGTATGGTGGTGCACTCTGATTACCATGCTTTTAAGACTGCATGAAGTGATCAATTTTGGAGCTAAATGCAAATAGTCAGCCTCCTCTGGTACTGAACCATTAAACAGTGTTACAGTAAGCACAGCCACAACGGTTCACCAGTCCTGGGGTCAATAGGATAGAGAGATGTGGTAGAAAATTGTCTTTTTTTTGCTGTAGATTGGCTTTAAGAAATGCCTCTGACCTTAATGGAGTGGCAATGAGAGAGGGTGGAAGAATACAGTATAATGTTGGGGTGCCATAAAGAATATTCAGGCTGTAATAGGGTGAATCATGAGATGTTTTGGCCACATTCCAGTGAGAAGCATACTGGGTATAATATGTTGCAGGTGTTTGAGTGTGAGGTGTACTGGTTCTAAGTGGCATGCATTATGAAGTCTGGTGGTGGCAATGAGACATAGGGGTTGATTTACTAAAGACATATAGACTATGCAGTTGTGCTCATTTACCATAGTAAATGTAATGTGGTGAAGCTTCACATTATAAAGAATACCCAAACAGGTGCAAGGAAAATAAAAAAACAAAACAACATTTGTACTTGTACATTATTGGATGATGGAAATCAGCAGAGCTTTACCAAATTTACTAAGCTCTGGAGAAATTAAT